CTGCTCCCTTCCTCCTCCCCAAACTGCCCCACCACAGCGCTGAGGTGTTGGACCTGGTGCCCCGCACCAGCCGCTCAGGGCCCTGCCTTCCCCGTGGGTGCAGAGAAGGGCTCTCGGTTGCCCGCAGAAAAGGGGGTGTGCTGCAGCAAAGGGCAAGGCAGGTAACATGGCAGCGAGGCACAGGCCTTGCCTTTAACGGGCTGCAGGAGGGAGCCGCCAACAGGTTGGCAGAGGTCAGGGGTTGTTCGCGGCACCCTGAAGTTGGAAGAGCACAACGGTATAAAGTCAGCTCTTCTCTCCAGCCTCGCTGGCCAGGCAGGGATGCTGTTATGAATTCAAATACTACTTCAGACAACCCCAGGCTTGAGATCAGTTCCCTTTTGTGTAAGTTTGGTAGTGGCCCGAGAGAGTTGACTACCTCTCTGGCTGCACCCGTCGCACAGGGGGGTGAGAGGGGAGACAGAGAGGGGAGAGGACTTGCCAAAGGTCATGCAGCAGGTGGGTGAAGAAGGTGCTTTCCAGGCAGTCGTTGTTGACCAGGCTGGTACTCAAGGCTAGCTCCCCTCATCTGTCCGGTCACACGGTGCTCAGCACAATCCCACTAATCAGTCTTACAGTATTGAAAATGCTTGCACTGCTGTTTGCATTTACCTGATCACAATTATTAAGATTACATATTGTAGGAAACACCTCATCACAAAATACTCAGCAATATATGCTCATGGCCATATTTTTCCTCTCTCAGGCACTTCAAGGCAGGAACTGGCTCTTGTTATATATTTGACTACTGCCTGGCACACAGGGAAATAGATCTGAGATAAGGTCTTTGAAATGCTATCTTAGTTCAAATAGGTAGTTGATAATAAATTGCTGGGTATAGCCCAAACATTGCACCATAAGATGTTCAGCAGACTTGTAAATTGTACACTCTTGATCGTAAATCCCAATCATGCATGCTCTGCTATGCATCCTGTCTATCATAAAGTGGTGTGTATCCCATTGTCTGGTGTTCAGTATAATCCAAAGCATACAACTGATCCACTTAGCCCTATCGTAATACTATGTGCAAACCATATTAACCACACAGTGTTGTGCTTACACCTTAACCTATAATGTCATTTATACATCTATAGTCCTACTGTGTTCCACATATCCTCACTCCTCTGCATATTATGTTTTGTATATACCCATCTAATCCAATAGCGCACAGTAGTTTATTTCTTCACAATTATTAAACCATACAAAGTAATGGTGAAGTGAAATGTGCATGTTGTGGGCTGGAAGGGAGGCAACCCAGCACAAATGAACCTCTCTTGCTTTGTTTTTGTATTTTAGATCATATTGACTTTACACAGACAATGATCCCAAAGGCCGTACGATAATTGCTGAAGAACTGCCAAGAAAGAAGGCACATTGAGGATTGTACTGAAGCAGGAGAGGGGAGCAAGGAGGGAGACCATTCGACTTGTTCCTCTAGTAGTAGCAGCTCTGCATACACTTTTTGTGGGGCTGTGTCAGTGCCATCGAAGTCCTAGTTTGCAGGCAACAGCCAGTTCAGCAGTACATCTGAGACTTCAGGGACAGAAGGAGAAGCTGTGCCAGCATGGATAAGGACAGCACGAACCTGACTGACCAGCAGTATGAATGTGTGGCTGAGATTGGCGAAGGAGCCTATGGGAAGGTATTCAAGGCCCGAGACTTGAAGAATGGAGGTCGTTTTGTAGCGTTGAAGCGGGTACGGGTGCAGACAAGCGAGGAGGGGATGCCGCTCTCCACCATCCGTGAGGTGGCAGTACTGAGGCACCTGGAGACCTTTGAGCACCCCAATGTGGTCAGGTGAGGAGCTGGAGTAGGAAACTTGGCTGGTTCTAGATTTGCTATGTTAATTGGGCAGACAAAACTTTGGGTTCATGGATGGAGTGGGTGCCAGTTTGGGTGAATTTATGGAGTATTAGATTGAGTACATGAAATATTGCAGAAGGTTTAGCTTGCCAGACCTCACCTCATCCTTTTGCTCTGTCTCCCCCACATATAAATGCCCATTTCCAGAGGTATAGATGTGTTATTTAAGTATTTGAGTGAATAGGCAAGGAACCATATAAACACTGTATTCCTTAGGCATAAGCAGGAAGAAGGAAAAGGGAGCAGTTCTTTTGTCTTGGGGATCAGCTCTTCCCAATGGAACAGATTTTTGCTGCCCTATTCATTATAAAAATGGGAGTGGATATTGTAATGTTGGCAGAAATGTACCAGATTTACTCAAATACAAGGCAACCCACCCAATTCTTAGATTCTACACACATAAATTGTTATAAATTTGTTATAATTTTCTGTGTATAGAATCTAATTATTGGAGCATCATCTTAAATTTGTCCAAGCCCCACTACTGCAGGTGGTGGGGGAAAATGTTGATGGGGGGGGCTGTAACGGGGTAGGTGGTAGGAGACAGACAGTTGGGGAGGCAGTAGAGGGGGTAGTAATGGGGTAGGGGGCAGGCAGTGAGCAAAGCAGTCACCTTGCCCCCTGCTGCCTGTCCCCACCCCACTTACCTCCTGTTGTGCCTGCCTTGAGTTGAGTGTTATTTTTTATGACTAATTGCACAAAATGTTGATGATTGAGCTATCAAAAGATACAGAAGTACAAGTTGCAGGCCCTGCATCCAAATATAAAGAGAGGATACAAGACTTTTCTTTATATTCTTACAAGACTGTGCATACTGAATACCTGACCTGAGTTCTTGAACAGATCCCTGTAAATAGTGGCGCTGACCTGTTATAATATCTAGTACCAGTTCAGTATTTTAATGGCTTACTGAACCTTGCAGGTTGTGTCCAGGAAAGCTGGAAAATGTCATGATTGTACAGAGGGAAATTTTTGTAGGAGCCTTTGTGGAACATTGGGAAATGTAGGGAAATGTCATAGGAACATAGGAAAATAGGACTGGAAGGGACCTCGTGGACCATCTACTCTGGTCCCCTGCATTTGCAGGCAACCATTTATCCAAGTCCACAAGAATGTCGACTTCAGCCCCTCTTGCACACCATGACCACAAAACACTCTATAAAAAGTATCACTACATCCAAGATACCACAGATAAAAAGCAAAGGAGAGAAGGGCACAAACAGTGCGTTGCCTAGTGCAATGGCAGGAAATTAGTTAGGCTAGAACAGTGGGAGCTAACCTTTTTGACACGTGCCACAAATTAGCCCTGCACCCTCTCTGAGCGCTACTTGGATCTCTTTCCTCTGCCTCATCTGCTCCCCTGCATTCTGCTCCCTGCCCTATCTGGTGCTTTGCTGCCTGCTCCCTCTCCGACCTACCTACCTCATGCCACACAGAGAGGCCACCCTTGCCACCTGCAGCATGCATGTCACAGGTGGCCACACTTGGTTTAGAATATGTTAAAAAGATCCCAGGAAGAGCAGCAAGCATTCTAGAAAAAGGCAAAAAGTCACATGATCCATGCCAGTCTGCCCTGGGGATAATTCTTTCCTGCCCCCAAATTTGGTGAACAGTAACATTGAGCAAGCAAGCTTTAGTTAACAGTTAGAAACAGGAGGAGCTCTTATATTCTGCTTTGGAGCAGCAGTGCAGCACAGTCAAACTCTGACCTCTGACTTGCCAAAGTTCTGGGGCTTAGAGGAAAGTGGAAAAACAAAACCCCTGAAACCCGTAATTCATTCATGAGAAAAATTTCTTCCTGGCCCCTATGCACGCGCGCGCACACTTAAATTTACATTTAGCCCTTTTATGGGGATATGAAGTACTCAGATTCTCATATGCTATACTAGAATATTACCTGAAGAATATCCCCCTTATGATTTTGTTCTTTCCATAAACTTATCAGTCTTCATCTTGACACAGTTCATGTTCCTTGCCCCCATTGGTTTTTTTTTTTCTTGGAAGGCCATTCCAGAAGACCATTACCCCTCAAATGATTTTATACCTTCTTCTGATTCCCAGTTTAAATGTCAAAAGTTTATGTGACCAGTTTTTATCCATTTGATTTTGTGCTATGTTTTTCTTTAACTTAAATAGCTCTTTTCCACTCTGATACTCACCTCAAAAATACAGTTAGAAGGAATAATCATATTCTTTTAAACTTCTCTTTATGACCTTTCTTTATACCTGTTCTAATTTCAATTAATCTTTTTTAAACATAACTAACCAGAGCTGTATACACTATTCTTAATGTGGGCTTACCAATGCCTTGTACTGTGGTTCTCATGTTTCATGGTCTCTTTTGGAAATATGCTGCCTAATGCGCCCAAGGATTGAATTAGCCTTTTCCACAGCCACATCACACTTGCTGATCAGGCTATGTGATGATCAGCCAGTACATCTTTCTCATCTTCTGTTGTCTCTGTCTTACAGCAGAAGTTTTTGGCATCCTCCCTAAGTGCATGACTGCACTTTGCACTATTAAGTTTCGTGCTGTTTCTGTTACTCCATGCCATAAGGTTCATCATAAAGGAAGGTTGATTAGTCTTTCTCTGTATTGGTAGTATCTATTAGTATATTGTCATTCATAAATTTGTAAGTGCACATAGTTCTTCCAGAAACCTCACTGGTGTTAACACTGGTGAGGTTAAAGTCAAATTGATCAGTTGGCAGTTAACTGGGTCGTAGTTTTTTTTTCCTTTTTTGGACATAGGCACTATATTTGCTCTTGTTCAGTCAAGGGGGACTACCTGACAGATTCATTGATGATCCCTGCTTCAGGATATTGTATTTCATATTCCAGTTCTTTAAGCTGGGGATGTCGGTTACCTGTGCCCTGACATTTTTGTCATAGAAAGCAATCTAAGTTTTCCCTCAACCTCAGATGAGGTGATATCCATTATTGTATCCTTGTTTCCTTCTGGTTCCCTATTATCATTGTCATATACATCTATTTACAGCTGTCACTCTTACTACACAGTTAATATACAATTAACTAATTTTCTAGTTTAACTTATTGCATGATTTCAGGGGTAACTGAGGCAGCAGAAAGTTTGGAAAATTCTTTAGAGCTAGATAATTTATTCAATATCTCTGGTATCGTGCATGGATTATTATTAATACAATATTTTTTCCCTCTTACATACTTACATATGAAAATTAACCTGTCTGGTATTCAGGTGATAATGCAACAGTAACAAAGGCCCTTCCAGTACTTTTGAAGCAGTTCAAATAATGCAGCATTTGACAGCAAGGGGAAGATAGATCAAAGCTTTGTAATATCCAAATCTCTTCTAACTCTGTGAAGCTCCCATGTGACTTTCAGGCTGTCTTGTAGCAGTGATCCATGTGCCAATTTTAGATTCTGAGTTGAAGTTCCTTACAGTAGGCACGACAGGAGACTGGGAATAATATTTAAAAGGTTTGGGTAAATAGAAGGAGAAATCTTCATTTTCTTCCTTTTCAGAATGAGGTGGCAGGATAATTTTATTACTCCCAGAACTAGGGAGGCAAAGAATTTATATTCTAAAAAAAGGATTAATGGGAGGAGACTGAGCAGAAACACATTATTTTATCATAATCATTATTATTATTAATAATAATAATAATAATAATAACAACAATCTTTAACATTTCACTGGAATTGTTTAGTTTCATTTAGGTCCCAACTAGCTTTCCAAACAGAGACTTAATGGAGGTTAGCTTTGGGAAGAAGAAGGCAGAATGAAGCTTATATCTTTCCATTGCAGTGTCCATTGTTTGGTTAGTAACAATTTGTTGACTCCCACCTTGAAAGGCAGAAGACTAGAAATGTCATCTATAAAATTTTCCAATGTGGGTGTTCAGATTGGGCACCATAGTGATATTTGGGTATTAAAACAAGTAGCTTGATTTACAGAGGTGCAAACACACTTCTTTATTCATTGGCACTAGTGGTAGCAATAGTCAAGTGCTCAGAACTTCTGAAATTCAAGCCACTTATTTAAGTGGCGAAACATAAATTGAAGGTTAGAATTAAATGCCTCCAATTTTAAACTTTTGACCGCTGTTTTTTAAATGAAACAGATTTGAATGAAAATACTAAGGTTTTTAAATAGGTATAGTACCTGTGACATTTATCTCTGCAGTCTTTCCATATAGAGGGGATGGATCTATGCCCAAGTCTCCTGTTTTCCTGAAGACATCAAATCCAGCAAAATCAGAACAAAATGTCTGTATTCTTTTCTCCCAGAGCCACTGTTTTTAAACAAAAAGAGGCCATGCAAATACAGAGTTGTGTTGCTTAGATTTAGATTCGATGTGTCCTGTATATAGCATTTTAGAAGTATTAAGACAATTTTTATAAGATCAAACAAAAATTGAATGTCTCTAAGTAACAAAGTAAACCCCCAAGTGATTTTGACCATGTAGTTTCAATAGAAATCTCTCAGGAAGCAAGTTCTAGTACATAGGTTATGCTGTGCTGAAGCCTGTAGCAGTTGCTATAATCATTGTTTCAGATGCAACAGGTTAGATCATTATGTACCAAGGTGTTTGGCATCTCTCCTGAACCCTCTTTCCATGTACACGAGAGAAAAATAAATAGCAAATTCAAGGAGTATGTCTGCAATGATGGAGAAGGATTCAATTTCAAAACCTACTGCTTTTGTCTTTATTGTTGTCTTTAGAGCAGGTGAATTTGAAGTAGCTTTTTAGAGTATTTGAAATCATTTCATTTTTATAAAAACACATGTGTTTGTATAGGCAGAAGCAAATATTCAAATACCTCAATTGCTTTATGAAGTACAGTAGAAAATTTTGTAATTTCTTGGGATTAAAGGGTTACTTTTTACTGTGTGAATATACCCAGAAAAGGAAATAATGCACAAGATCTGCAGTTTTACTCACCTGAGCTA